ACCAGAGGGGACTCGGAGCCCCCGCAGGGTTCGAGCCTCAGCTTCGAGCTCCGGCTCTGCTGTGGGCTCTGAGCCTCCGGTCTGGTCCCAGCCTGATCTCGGTCTCAGTCTTGGTCTCAGTCTGGCTCCAGTCTGGTCCCGGTGTGGTCCCGGTCTGGTCTCGGTCTCAGTCCCGGTCTGGTCCCGGTGTGGTCCCAGTCTGGTCTCGGTCTCAGTCCCGCTCTGGTCCTGGTCTGGTCTCAGTCTGGTCTCGGTCTCAGTCTCGGTCTCTGTCTCGGTCTCAGTCTGGCTCCGGTCTGGTCCCGGTCTGGTCCCGGTCTCAGTCCCGCTCTGATCCTGGTCTGGTCTCTGTCTCGGTCTCAGTCTGGCTCTGGTCTGGTCCCGGTCTGGTCTCGGTCTCAGTCTCGGTCTCCGTCCCGGTCCGGTCCCGGTCTGGTCTCGGTCTCAGTCCCGCTCTGGTCCTGGTCTGGTCTCGGTCCGAGTCCCCCTCTGGTCCCACTCTGGTCCCGGACCTGGATCAGTCCTGGTTCAGTCCGACATCACAGTCACGGGAGTCACGTAAACATGAAACGGTCGTTATTCGTTTTTTCAATTTTCATTTAATTCCATAGTTTGAAGGTCCATTTTGTTCCTTTGGCTCTGGGTTCACTGCTATCGTCTTGGTTACCAGGTTCCGTGGTAACCAAGACGATAACCAAGACGATAACTAAGACGATAACCAAGACTGAATTCTTAAATCTGCCATGTCATGCTCAAAGCTTTGTGACTCACACATATAAGGTTGAAACGGGAGGACATTCTGTTCATTTGCAGATCGCAGCTCGTGGACACACACAAACAGAGAAGGAGAAGATTTCAACTCAAAGCCCTTGTAGGTGAAGACTAACAGACACAGCCTAAACCTACTGTTTAAAATGGGAAAAAGAAACCGAAACCGTCTGGCTCATAACAACTACGAGTCCAAACAGTCTCCTGAGACTGTCGGCCGTGGTCCCCAAGGTCCCAAGACAAAAATAGTGAACCCAGAGCCAAAGGAACAAAGTGGACCTTCAAACTACGGGATCAAACTCTATAGAAAAAAATGCAGCTTGACCAAAGCAGGAGACAGATTTTGGTTTGAAATGCCAGATGAGGATTCTGATGATGAGATCTACTTTGGACAACTCTGCAAGCACTACGAGTCCAAACAGTCTCCTGAAACTGTCGGCCGTGGTCCCTCTACCGCAGACAAGGCTGTGGCTTTTCAGGGACAGACACTAAAGACGTCCTCCCACCCGGCTGGAGTGAAAGTAGTGAAACCGCAGCGTTCCGCTACCAGGGCTGGAGACCTCTCTCCAGACACCCACAGCTCCAGGCCCACTGTGGACGGAGACCAGGGACCTCTCAAGTCCTCACAGAGGAAACAGAAGCACAGAGAAAGTAAGGCAGGTGACAGTTTTGGGCTGGAGTTGCCGTACAACCCAGCCAAAGTGGAAATACACTTTGGAGATGTGGACTGGTCGATTATCAAGCCGCCTTTGAAGGATCCTTCAGTGGGAAACAGGGAGAGCGGCATCTCATCTGAAAATAAGAAAGAGAAATATACACCAGTCTCACGCAGCGTCCAAGTTCCTCCGGTAACCAAGACAGTAACGGTGAACCCAGAGCCAAAGGAACAAAGTGGATCTTCAAACTATGGAATCAAACTCCATAGAAAAAAATGCAGTTTGACCAAAGCAGGAGACAGATTTTGGTTTGAAATGCCAGATGAGGATTCTGATGACGAGATCTACTTTGGACAACTCTGCAAGCACTAGATCCACGCCTCCATCTTCTAAATAAATAAAAGCAATCTAAAAAAGCATTTCAAAGCATTATAAGGTGTTTTTTTTGTTTTGTTTTGTTGTTTTTTTAACGCAGGATACCATTTAAAAAACAAAATACATAATGGTCGAATACATAACTTCTATGGTTAGTTATTAGTTAATTCTGCTGTTTATTTGTTGCAGCTCAGGTATGATACAGTGTGTAAAAAACTGGTTTACTTTATAATCCTGCTTTGTGTCAGTGGTATAAAGTATAAAGTCATTTCAGTATTACTGTTTATCCCAGTATTTCTCAATACACCACGCTTAAAAATGTGTTATGGTGACAGATCTACTTCTGGTGCCTACAATCTAGATCCACCTGGAGGTCTATCACACAATGGACACCAAACTTTTTAGTGAAAGAAATGAAAATGAAAATTAGATTCAACTTAGTGCATGTTAATAAAAAATCAGTTGGGAAATCATTCATTCCATTACTGTTATTTTTCTAATTTTGTCACACTGAACTCTGTAGACTGTATTGACTTAAAATGTCTCTAATCTAATTACATGCCATTGTTTTTTTTGATGCGTGCACACACAGTCTAAGGCCCCGTCCACATTAGTACGTATTCGAGTGATTTTCGTTGTGGATACAGTGTTCGTCCACACTAATCCCGTTGAAAACGGCTCCAGAGACGGAACGATCTGGTGCCGCCAGCTCCCACAAATTCATTTGAGTACGGATCTGATCTGGCACTGTGCGGACGCCTGAAAACACTGATACGCTGATATGCTGATGTAGGTCTATGCACCGCGAAGTAGCAAATTCACCACCAAAACACTAAGAGGTTAGACACAAAATCGGAAACTGAAAAAACTAATCATTACCTGTTTTTGGAGACAAATAATGAAGAAAACAGTTTTTTTTGTGTTCTTCTTTTTGGTTTTATATTGAAAAACTAACGAACAAATGACAGGGATTTTGGTTTTAAATGTTTGTCTTAACTCGCTCTACATGATCCTGGGCTTTTATTTTGTCCATAAACTTTTATCTCCTCTCGTTTAGACAACTGTAAATGAACTTTATTCTGGCATCAGTCACCGTGCACTTTACAGCTTACACTTGGCTCAAAATTCTGCTGGGTGACTCTTTTTTTTTAAGCAAAAAAAAAACCAAAAAAACACAAGAGCACATTACCCCGATTTTAGTGTCACTGCAGTGGCTTCCTGTTCGTTTTAGAGCTGATTTTAAGATTTTATTGTTTGTTTTCAAAGCTTTGAATGGACTGGCCACACGTTCCGCCTCGGAGCTGATCCAGATTTACTCCCCTGTGGCTCTGAGGTCCGAGGTCCACCTCCAGCTCATGGGGCCTAAACCCAGAGGGACAGGACCAGTGTCATTTTACTTTAAAAAATTGTTGTTGTTGTTGTGTTCTGTAAAAAAATAATTTTCAATATACTTCACCCAAACTTCAAATTCCTGTCCGTCTCTTCATTCACACTCAGGCTCCTAAAAGGACAACCTTCTGATGCAGCCTTTGTGGCCGTAGTCTGCCCCCAGCCCTAACAAATTTACATTACACAGAGGCTCCAATAACTCAATATAATAAAATCTGTACAATAGAAACAAGTAAAAAATATGACATGGGTAGGTTTTAAGTTTGGCTTTGAACAGAGGCAGGTCAGGGATGAGCCGTAACTCAATGGGCAAAGAATTCCAGAGTTTTTGGCCACTGTTTGCACCGGGACCGGGGGACCTCCAGCAGATGTGGCCCAGCAGATCGTAGAGCTCTGCTGGGTCGGTGGAGGGGTCAAAATCTCACACAAGTAGGATGGTGCATGACCACTGTCTCCATTAAAAACAAACATCAAAGTTTTAAATAAATTCTGAACATTTTAAAATGAATTCTGCGAGTATTTGGTCCAAACGCCTTTAAAAACACAAGAGACACATGGGGCTGTTAGTGCTGCGTTTTATTCTAACGACTTGTTAAAGGTTTTGTGTCGTGTTTGTGATGTGCGGACGATTCCTTTCTGTGTCTGGTACATGTGAAGAAACTGACAAATAAATCCGTCCTGATTTATGAGGTACGTTGCGGTACGTCGAGGAAATGACACTTTTTCGGACGCGACGTGATCTGACAGAAGAACAAGTTTGTTTTTATGGAGCTTAGAGGGAGACGTCAAACTCAGCTCAATAAAATGAAAAAGTGTGAATATAGTAAAGTACAAAACAGGCTTTTGATGAGGGAAAATTATTCAACTTTACATAATATAAAAAAATAAATATAACACATGAAGTCTTTTTATATTTTTTATTGATTTATTTTTTTGTTCTAGTGCTGAGGGGGTTTGGACGACACAGTTCTGCTCAGAGTTCAAGTTCTAAAGCTGAAAAAACACGCCACAAACAAATGAATTGTAGATGACACAGTTGAGTCGGTTGTAGAGGTAAGATCTTAAGACCGAGCCCAAGCCCAACCCGAATTTCGGGTCTAAAATGTCAATCATTACTTCGGGTCGGGTCGGGCTTGGGCTTCAAATAAATATATGTTTATAAAATGTATGCTAAAACGATGTGTGGATACTAAACTAAGGAATACTTGTTATAAAATAAATAATATGGATAAAACAGAGAAGTAATGTAATGTAATTGCTATTTAACTACTAAACAGGATCCGCAGAGCCAGAGCTCTGCGCACGTGAACGCCCCCTCTTAATTTAATAATCTTCCCCTCCGCAAGTCTGCATCTATTTTGACCTGGTATCCCCAATATGGAGGAGCAAGAAGTTAAACTAAAGGCAGGAGAACTGAAAAGACAAACACGCACCGGTAAGAGTGAGGTGTGGAAAAGCTTCAAATTGATTGTTGAAAATGCTACAGAAACTTGCGTTGGCTTCGCTGAATGTCGTCAATGTGGCGCTTTGCTTTCATACGAGAGCAAAAAGACTGGCACCTCGACGCTGAGCACTGCTCCTCCTCCCGAGTCACAAATAAAATATGACATTTCGGGTTTGCTTCGGGCTCGGGCCTGCAAATCAAGTTAATTGGTCGGGCTCGGGCCGGGTCGGGTTTTAATACCCGCGGGCCGGGTCGGGTCGGGCTGGATTTTTTAGGCCCGATCTCACCTCTAGTCGGTTGTGAAAAGCCAGAGGGAAAACACTGTGGACTCAGGTGAACTGTAACAAAACAATACAAGAGACTGCCCCCTACTGGAGACGAGGATCACTCCAGGACGCTTCTGTGTGCGCCGCCTCCATTTGTGTCTCTGCACTTCCTTCTTCCTGCCATGAATAGTGCTTTTGCTTGAGCTTTGTGACTAACGCGCGCAGCCTGTGCACTTCTGCCTTCAGCTCTGAGCTCCTGAACGTCTCTAATTTCAGACGAGCGTCCATCACCAACTTGTCCACCGCAGCGTTTGTCACTTTCTTCTTGAATGTTTCTATCTGTGAGGAGAGTTCTTCCTTCTCTTTCTCCAACACCTGCAGTTTTAAACTGTAGAGGCTCTTCACCTCTTGCTCTGATAGAACCCGGTGACTGGGGGCTGTGAGTGAAGCTGGAGTCTGCTCCTGCTTCTTGCTGCTCAGTTGGTTTTCCAAAGATGGTTTACTTTGGAGCTTTAAGACCAACTCCTCTAAATGAGCCCTGCTCTTAGCCGCCTCCTGAGCCTCTTTTTCTCGTGCACTGTGCTCCTGCTCCAGAGATTCACTTATCACTTTGATTTCACTGAGAGCTTCTTCCAGTTGCTTTTTAAGGGCCTTGTTTTCTTGTAAAAGGCGTGTCTCTTTGAGGCTGCTGTTTGCCTGTGAGCGCTGAAGATCTTCTCTCAGTGAGATGAGGTGTTCTTCCTGAAGAGCTCGTGCACTGTGCTCCTGCTCCAGAAGCCTCAGAGTCTCACGGTGGGCCTCCTCTTGCTGTTTCATCATGTCTATCATGGTTTTCATCTCGAGCTCCAGCTTTTGTTGTCTCACTTCCATCTTCAGTTTTTCTTGTCTCTCGTGTTCAAGCTGCTCCTCCTTCCTCTGAAGCTTTTCTTTAAACTCGTCGCACATCATTGTATCATTCTGACGACTCTCCTCATTTTGTAACTCCAGATGATTCTGCTCCAGAGTCGACTTGGTCTCTGTAATTTCCTGAAGATCATTTTTCAAATCCACTTTCTCCAGGTCTTCTGTGTCCGAGTCAGCGGAACCATTCGACCCAGACGATGGGACATTGATGGAGGTGGAGACCTCAGGGAGAGACTCTCCAGGACCTGGTTCAAACTCAAACTCCAGAGAAGCTCGTCCTGGTTCAGATGGAGTTGTTTGCTGGGGGCTGTACCTCTTAGGACTGTTTGTGAAGTCAAAGTCACAAGACGACCCCTCATCACTGATACCTTCTGATCCCAGTCTCAAAGCCTCTTCCTCAGGCTCGTCCTCTTCCTCAGGCTCGTCCTCTTCCTCAGGCTCGTCCTCTTCCTCAGGCTCGTCCTCTTCCTCAGGCTCGTCCTCTTCCTCAGGCTCGTCCTCTTCATCCTCCTCTTCAATCAGGCTCATCGGTGTGAAAGTTCGAATATATGGTTTATATTTCCGGACTCTGCAAGAAGGTAGGACCTTAGGGAGAGATGTGATGGTGCTGAGCTCCACAGAAGCTCCTCCTGCTGCAGATGGAGATGTTTGCTGGTCGTTGTTTTTCTTTAGATTCTTTGTGAACGACTCATCGTCTTCATCAGAAGAGTCGTCAGAGTCCCAGTCAAAATCATATTTACCCAGCACCTGTTTTATCAACTTTTCCTTTTGGTCTTCAAGTTTGTTCACAGATGAAGCCTCTAATGTCTTGTTACTGGAGGCAGTGCTGAGGGAGTGTTCACGCTCTTCCTCTTTCACTTCATCCTCCTGTTTAGAAGCTCCATCACGTGAGCGTTTAGCGTGTGCGATGAGGAGCTCAGCACACCTCTGGTGTCCCTTTTTCACGGCGTAGACCTCAGCGGTCCATCCTCTGAAATCATCTACAGTGACGTCCGCACCGTTGGCTAAAAGCAGCGGCAGCATGTGGTCCTGGCCGCCTCCAGCAGCCAACATTAAAGGAGTTATGTTGGAACCATCAGTGGCGTTGGCATCTGCTCCGTTCTTTAGAAGAAACTTCACCATGTCAGTGTGGTCCAGGCGGAGCGCCACACTCAGAGGGGTAAGACCACGGCCATTAAGGACATTTATCTGAGCCCCGCGCTCCAGGAGCAGTTGAGCTATGGACACACACGAGGTGCCCGCTGCCATGTGCAGCGCTGTGTCTCCCTCACTGTCCCGCAGGGTGAGATCTGCACAGTTCTGCAGGAGCATGTGGACACAGGTCCAATGTCCTCCCTGCACCGCCTTCATTAAGGCCGATTGATTTTTATCATCGCGAAGGTTCAGATCTGCATTTACTCCTAAAAGTAACTGTACCACGTCGTTGTATCCAAGAGCACACGCGATATGCAGAGCACTTCTCTGTTTCTTATCCTGCTTATTGATGCGTCGCCTCTTTTTGGTAAGAAGTTTTTCTATTCTGACCAAATCCCTCTGTGCTGCCGCCTTGTGGATCTTCCCCAGGTCTCTGTCCCTGAGCTCGTAGCCCCCAGAGACGCTGCTGCTGCTGCTGGTTTCACCAGTACAACTTTCCTTTTTCTTGGAAAAGTTGAAAAAGTTTTTCAGTGCCTTCACCATTGTGGCAGTTGTAATGTTTTTACAAATGCTGTTGTAAGTGAAAGTGCAAATGTGAAAGTGAAAAGTCTCGGAGTGTCTCTGTGTGAAGTTCACTCTGTTCTGTCTTCTGATCGTCTGAAGTTCTGATCGTCTGAAGTTCTGCTGCAGGACTCACTTACACTTATAAACTTCTGCACTAAAGCACTTTACGTGTTGTAAAGCACTGACGACACGTCAAAGGAAGATTCCATCCACCACGGCGACGGCCCTAGCAACGCCAATGTTCCACAGTGACATCATGCTGGGGAAGAATGTTCCGCGGTTACCACGGCGACACAACACTCTCACTCAACATGTGTTTAGAAATGAAGATAAAGAGAGACATTTTCAGGAGCATGTGATCATTAAGAGCGTTTAAGTCTCGTCTTTGACTCTCACACAGTGTTGAAACACAGAGTCGTGTGCTCCTCTGTGTCTTTTATTTTCATATTTTTTACTTTATGTCTTATTTGATTTTAGTAGTTTTATTGTGTTAACGAGGACCAGAAAGAGATTGATTTTATATTTCTATTGGATAAGCTTTCTTTGTTTTGTTGTTTTGTTTATGAAATGTGCTGTAGAATTGAAGTGGATTGGATAAATAAATGGAACTGGCACCGGAAACCAGAAAAGTTACATATTTTAGCTTTCACTGAACCAAAAGAACCAAGCGTGTGTGTTTAATCTGCAGAAGTTTTCTTTTCAAACAGCCCCAAACGCCTCGTCAGATGTGGAGGAATTACAGGCTTTATTCTCCACACTTATACCAAACTTTGTGAATTCATTTTGAGCGAGTTTCGTTTTCGCTCCCGACACAAAATCTGATCAATGAACGTAATTACAGCGCCGAATTCAGACACTCGAAAGATACGACGACAAATTACCCCCCGAGACAGAATCACAGCCAGTACATGAGAAAAAGGAAGAGACGAAACCAGGACTAAACCAGGACTGAACCAGGACTAAACCAGGACTAAACCAGGACTGAACCAGGACTGAACCAGGACTGAACCAGGACTGAACCAGGACTAAACCAGGACTAAACCAGGACTGAACCAGGACTAAACCAGGACTGAACCAGGACTGAACCAGGACTAAACCAGGACTAAACCAGGACTAAACCAGGACTGAACCAGGACTAAACCAGGACTGAACCAGGACTGAACCAGGACTGAACCAGGACTAAACCAGGTCTAAAACATAGCTAAAACAGGACGAAACAAGGACGAAACCAGGACTAAACCAGGACTGAACCAGGACTAAACCAGGACTGAACCAGGACTAAACCAGGTCTAAAACATAGCTAAAACAGGACGAAACAAGGACGAAACCAGGACTGAACCAGGACTATACCAGGACTAAAACAGGAACTAAACCAGGACAAAACCAGGACAAAATCAAGGGCTAAACCAGGTCTAAACCAGGTCTAAAACAGAGCTAAACCAGGACTAAACCAGGACTAAACCAGGACTAAACCAGGACTAAACCAGAACCAGGACTAAACCAGAACTAAACCGGGACAAAACAAGGACTAAACCAGGACTAAACCAGAACTAAACCAGGACTAAACCAGAACTAAACCGGGACAAAACAAGGACTAAACCAGGGCTAAACTAAACTTAACTAGGGGCCTGAACAAGATCTGAAAACATTTAGATGTTTAAGTGACACAATGTAAATATTGGTGGTACAGGAGAAGTAGTAGTAGTAGTAGTAGTAGTAGTAGTAGTAGTAGTAGTAGTAGTCATAGTAGTAGTAGCACTGATTAGTAGTAGTAGTAATTTGACCTCATGCCTGAACTAAAGGTGCATTGATTTTATTTTAGAGGAGTTTTTTAAATGACTTTTTTGGTTCAGCTGCTTCACTTTTTCGTCGCTTATTCAGAACATAAACTCTTATCTCGTCAAAACGATGAGATTTACTGCTTTTTATAAAGAAAAAGAAATAATATTATGCAGAATTTAGTTAAGTATTTTGGCCTTTCTTGGTATTTTCAGTTGGAAAGGTGAGTTTGAACATGTCCTCCTGCTTTGGATCCGTTTTCTCTAATCAAATCTTCCAATCTAAATTGATTCTCGACTCTTGCCAAACGAAAGAGGAAGACGTCCAAAATGATACGAACGTCGGCGCCAGATTCTGAGGAAAAATTCAAATTCAGATGGAGAATTAGTTTTATGTTGTCAAGGGAGATTTAAGATCTGCAAAAAGGACAAACGGTGATCAATAACAAAGAGAAAAAAGTGACAAAAAGACAAAAAACACAAAAGAGACAAAGAGACAAGTGCAGAGGAGGAGAAGAAGAATAATGAAGAGAGTTTAGCGATCTGAATCTAGACTAAATCAGGACTAAACTAGGTCTAAACCAGGTCTAAACCAGGACTAAACAAGGACTAAACAAGGACTAAACCAGGCCTAAACCAGGACTAAACCAGAACTAAACCAGGGCTAAAACTGGACAAAAATTTGACTAAACTAGACTAATCCAGGACTAAACTAGGACTAAACCAAGGACTAAACTAGACACAAACCAGGACTAAACCAGGACTAAACCAGGTCTAAACCAAGACTAAACAAGGACTAAGCCAGGCCTAAACCAGGACTAAACCAGAACTAAAACAGGGCTAAAACTGGACAAAAATTGGACTAAACTAGACTAAACCAGGACTAAACTAGGACTAAACCAGGACTAAAACTGGACTAAACCAGGACTAAAACTGGACTAAAACAGGATTAAACAAGTACTACACCAGGACTAAAACAGGACTGAAACAGGACTAAAAAGTAAGACTAAAACCATACTTAATCTGGACTAAAACCAGGCTATACCAGGACTAAAGCAGGGCTATACCCAGACTAAAACAGGACTAAAAGAGGGCTAAACAAGGACTAAACCAGGACTAAATCAGGACTAAACAAAGACTAAAACAAGACAGGGCTAAACTAGGACTAAAACAGGCCTAAAACCATACTGAATCCGGACTAAAACCAGGCTATACCAGGACTAAACCAGGGCTATACCCAGACTAAAACAGGACTAAAAGAGGGCTAAACAAGGACTTAACCAGGACTGAAACAGGACTAAATGTGGACAAATTCGACAGTTGAACTGAACCAGAACTTGACCAGGTTCAAGCCAAGACTAGATGAGAACGAACGAAGAAGACCAAGACTAAACCAGGACTAAACCAGGACTAAACTAAGGACTAAACTAGACATAAACCAGGACTAAACCAGGGCTAAACTAGGACTAAAACAGGGCTAAACCAGGACCAAACCAGGACTAAACAAGGACTAAACCAGGACTAAACCAAGGACTAAACCAAGGACTAAACTAAGGACTAAACTAGACATAAACCAGGACTAAACCAGGGCTAAACTAGGACTAAACCAGGTCTAAACCAGGACTAAACCAAGGACTAAACTAGACATAAACCAGGACTAAACCAGGGCTAAACCAGGACTAAACCAAGACTAAACTAGGACTAAAACAGGGCTAAACCAGGACTAAAGCAGGACTAAACATGGACTAAACAGGACTAAACCAGGACTAAACCAAGACTAAACTAGGACTAAAACAGGGCTAAACCAGGACTAAACATGGACTAAACAGGACTAAACCAGGTCTAAACCAGGACCAAACCAGGTCTAAACAAGGGCTAAACAAGGATATACCAGGACTAAAACAGGACTAAAAACAAGTCTAAATGTGGACAAATTCGACAGTTGAACTGAACCAGAACTTGACAAGGTTCAAGACTAGATGAAAACGAACGAAGAAGACCAGGACTAGACCAGGGCAAAGCCAGGACCAAACCAGGACTAGACCAGGACCAACCAGGACACAAAACAAGAATTAAACAAGATCTAAACCAGGGTTAAATTGAGACTAAAGCCGCACTAAACCGAGACTTCGTGAGAACTACTCCGAGACTAAACCAGGACTATAGATACACATGTATGGAAAAGAAGAACAGTTATGGAGCATTAACCCTGAGGTCAGAGTCTGATCACTCAAACCCGAGTTCATTCAGCCCAAACTCCCGTCTGCACATCACACACACACACACACATATACACACACACAGACACACACACACACTCTTGTATCAGTGTGATTACTGTGGGAATGTGCCGTTTCCCACATTTACATTCACATTATGTTTTAGTTCCCACAGATTTAACTTTAACATCAGAACTAAATTTAACCAGAGACCCTCATTTTACATTTTACTACATCCTCACCGTACACACACTTCATATCATACTACTACTACTACTACTACTACTACTGCCACTACTGCTACTACTACTACTATCATTACTATACATACTATCTATATTATTGTATTGTAGTAGTGGCAGAAAGTAAATAACTCAAATGACTTCCATCCATACCTACAACTACTACAACTACTACTATTATAACTACTACTACTACTACTACTATTATAACTACTACTACTACTACTACTATTATAACTACTACTACTACTACTACTACTACTACTACTACTACTTATAACTACTACTACTACTACTACTACTACTACTACTACTACTACTACTACTACTACTACTACTACTACTACTACTACTACTACTACTACTACTACTACTACTACTACTACTACTACTACTACTACTACTACTACTACTACTACTATATAACTACTACTACTACTACTATTATAACTACTACAACTACTACTACTATAACTACTACAACTACTACTACTACTACTACTACTAACTACTACTACTACTACTACTACTACTACAACTACTACTACTACTACAACTACAACTACTACTACAACTACTACAACTACAACTACTACAACTACTACTACTATTATAACTACTACTATTACTACAACTACTACTACAACTACTACTACAACAACTACTACTATAACTACTACTATTACAATTACTACAATTACTACTACTACAACTACAACTACAACTACAACAACTACAACTACTACTGCTACTACTACTATCACTATTACAACTACTACTACTACTACTACTACTACTACTACTACTACTACTACTACTACTACTACTACTACTACAACAACTACTGCAACAGC